TATGTGTTAACCCATTGAACCGCAATGTGCCCCATCTATTTTTTTACTTTTCTAACGCCAGACAATTTTACTCGTCAATGGGGAAGCTCTGCCACTTAATGGGTTAAGCACCCTGGTTGTGGAAGTATGAACATCAATGGATACAAAGTCATGGTGTATATCATATAATTTATTAATATACAAATCAAAGTACTTTGCCAATGCAGGAAGTTCAAATAATATACACATACCAGTAAAATGCCTGTCACATACTGATACACAGGCAGTCATAATGGGTTACATACAGTCACTAAAAACACTTTTGACTGCATGTACCAAAAGAGAAATTTATCACCTTACTCCTTAGTTACTTAGTATGTCAGCCATATTACTGGTAGTGTGTGTGAGATACTGTATGCTGAATAAAGACCAGAAAGTTAGAAATATGACATGCTAGTGAATATAGAATACTTCAAGTTATTTTTATTAACATGTACAGTACATAATTCAAAAATATTTATAACTGTTTCAAGTGTTAGCACAGACATGATACTGTAATTCCTTTCAATGTGTGAAAGCTTTCAAAAATTCAATATAGTTGCTTACAAATTATCCATCCTTGTATATTGATTAAGCCAACACTAGTAGACTGCGAAATAGTTTGTAAATTAAGAGATTAGACAAGCCTCCTGACACTGAGCGGTAGGTTTATGTAAACGTTCGTTTTAGCTGTTAGCTTTATTTTACGTCGCCTGAGCAAAATCCATTCGATATCACTTAATTAAATCTTATACAAGAAGTATTTTAACATGTCAACAGAAAGAAATTGACCAGTTTACCTTTTCCAATCTGTTAATTCGAACGTGATTTTCTCATTGAAGGTTTGTTTCGCACATTGACCAGTTCCCATCGATTGTTTCCGCAATAATCCACAACAGTTTTCTATTTCACAAGATGAAAAATTCGCCCTAACAGATTTTGCAATTCACTCCTAATCGCCGCCATCTTGAATTTTTTCTATGCTCATGGGCAAGACCGCTGAGCTTCATGATCGGCAGTTTGGCCGATTTCGCAACATTTTATGCCAAGCGTGTATGAGTTATTTTAGTTATGTAATATTCACCGTAACTATACTAACTACGCACTTAACATTAATTTTTACTAATTAGCTAATACTGACAATTGTTTTCCTTTCTTTCTATTCGTTTGTTCTTTCAAACTATGTAAATTTTTTTGTAATATTTAACCATTATTTTGTAAATATATTTATATCATACCCTGTAAATTCATTTAGATTGTTCTGAAGATGTTTTATATTTCCGCCTGGTGCATCAACTGCCAAAGTTTGTGTTTATTACTGATGTCAGCAAAAAGTTGCAAAACTTTCTTCATGTTGATTTTACATAGATTAGTATAGCCGAGTGGATGTGAACAAGAAAAATATTAAAGTTTTGGGCTAATTTACTGTCGATGCAATAGAAGTGTTGATAAAATATTGTACCAATTGCTTTCCTCAAGTTACATGATCAATTTATTTGATAGAAAATTGATCGACTTCCTGGTTACTGGCATGCTTGTTCCCAATTGGCCAATCAGTCACTAAAACGTGAAGCCATTGGTTGATTCAAACTCACAGGAAGTTGATAAATTTTTGAACGATTAATGAATTGATCAGTTCTAAGTAATGAATTGATGCGATATTTTCTCAACATGCACTTCCATTGCAACGACAGTAATCGGAAATATTTTGGATGTACTATATATGTCAAGATCAGAAAAGTGTCTACGTGTAGTTCAGAGGTATTCTAGGTTTTGGGACTTGGGTTGGACTCTCCAAATTTCAGGGTTTTATTATTGGGGAGGGGGGGGGGAATTTACCCTCTTATGGTCGCAAACTCTGACGTAAAATCCTATACGCTTACTTATTTCCAAGTGAGGGGATAGAAATATATAATATCTGGGTTAATTCACCAACAGCAGCTCTAAATGATTACCCTTTTTTACTTATTAATAAAGGGTATGCCTTAAATACCACTTACCAGTTTAATATTAATAATGATGTTGTGATGAAATGAAATCCCCCAGGATTTAGCTACTTTCAGGGCATGTTTATATGATCCCGCCTACACGGGACGGGACGTTTTCATCCCGCCTAGACGGGAAACTCGCCTAGTGTTTATATGGACAAAATACATTGCTGGGATGAAGCCATTTAAATGTGCTTGACGTCATATTTTTGTTGCAATAAAGGTACTTACGCTTGCCCAAGAGGGAAAAATTCATCCTGCCTAGCCGGAATGAAGTGTTTATATGGGAATTTTTCATCTCGCTCAAGCGGGATCCCGGCATCTGTTGCTGAGATCCCGTCTAAGCGGGAGATTAAGTGGCGGGATCATATAAACACTCTTTAGAATTATTATTACAAGCGGGATCTCGGTAAGCATCCCGTCCCGCCTGGCCGGGATCATATAAACAGGCCCTTAGGCGGAATCCTGGTATCTGTTGCTGAGATCCCATCTAGGCGGGATAAGCATAGGGGATAAGTGACGGGATCATATAAACACTCTTTAGAATTTGTATTTGCAGTACGTATGAGCGGGATATCCGTAAGCATCCCGTCCCGCCTGGCCGGAATCATGTAAACAGACCCTCAGATTGGGGGCAAAATTCGGGATTTTGGGGGAATTCCCCCTATATCCATGTCCCTCACCCGCAAAATATCCTTGCTAATTCGCATGGAGAGTCCTATCAAATTGTTAAAAATGGATGAACCTGGATGAAGGTCACCGTGGATTTCCGTATACCAAAGTGGATTTTATTTACGGTCTACTACTATGGTGTTAAAATTATTTTTATATACAGGGTGTATCAAAAACAGTAAGACAATTTTTAAATTGCTCTCAATTCCACAATTCTGTTCATGAAATGTAATTTTTGCTATATATGGATTGCTTGAGTTCTTAAATTATGGCAAATATAAAAAAAATTGAAAATAGTAAATTTTGCTATCCAGGTGGGTGGTCAACTTTTGCTCTCCTAAAAGCGGCTTGCGCACGGAAATGACAAACGATATTCTTTACTTGAGTTCATTATTATTGGATAATTTGTACTCGGTAAAATCCTGCCCAAATGTTATCATAAATGCAACAAATAGCGAACTTTTCATACATGAACTCAAATAAAGAATATCGTTTGTCATTTCCGTGCGCAAGCCACTTTTAGGAGAGCAAAAGTTGACCACCCTCCTGGATAGCAAAATTTACTATTTTCAATTTTTTTTATGTTTTCCATAATTTAAGAACTCAAGTAATCCATACATTTTAAAAATTACATGTCATGAACAAAATTGTGGAATTGAGAGCAATTTCAAAATTGTCTTACTTTTTTTTATACACCCTGTATATACTATATATATTCTAAGGTCGTGGTTTCGAAATCCAGCAGCGGAAAGCAGAATTTTCCTCTTGCTCGTTTAAAAATCATTCACTCGAGAACTTTTCCACCTGTGATATTACCGAGTGAACAATATCACAACATCAGGCAACACTCGCAGAATAAGTATTGATCGATGCTGAATTGATATAAACGACTATGTTTACGATATTCAGTGTAAATCATAATTTCCAGTCCTCAATCAGTCCTGTCCATGTAGCTCAGTTGGTAGAGTGTCAAGCTAGTGTTTCGTAGTATATAGCAGTTCTCCAAAAGGTACAACAATAAATAAATGAGCATAAATCAAAGCGTAATACAGGAGAACGCAATGCCAGAGCAGTGCGTGAAATTATGAATATACGGTTGCGCTTGAATAAGTTTTACTTGTACATGTATTTTTCATGTAGTTGAATCCATCTCAATCCGCAGTGTCTTGGTGTTTTTGTCACTACCACGGACAGTAGAATAAATATATAGTCTGGATCGAGTTAATTAACGATCGTATGTATAATAGTAATATGGTATTCCCTTTTTAAGATGTCATTGGTCTGATAAAACTCGACACAGCCTAGCTGATTTTACTACCTCTTGAATAATTTCCCGTTCGATTTATAATTAACTGGTGGATATCGGGAACTTGTGTTCAGAGTATACAATCATAGTTTTGATTTTCTTAATATTATTAGGATTAGCCCGGCCACTGGTTTGTGAACTGTACGCCTCTTTTCAACGAATTACTAATAAAACATTTAGGATATAATTTCAGTGCGAAATAAGCCGAAAAGCGTCTACAATTCTTCGACTTCGCCTATTACTGGAGAATTTATCGCTGTGGATACGCTACTACCGTGATATGTTTAAATCAAAGAAAATACAAAATACGTTTTAAGAAACATCTATGGATACTTCCATGATTGCATATTGTCTTAACCTACCTTGAAAGCAGCCGTGTTTTTCTCGGTCCAAAGTGGTCCAGAAAAGGTCCTGAAATGACACCAATTGAAGTAAACGAAAGACTACCGGTCAGAAATACCAAATCCAATCGTTCATCAATACAGTCTTTGAGGAGATATTCGGCAAGCAAAGTCGAATTTCCGTTGCTTGTAGGTTTGCATAAGTCATAAAATATGTTATCTTGTTTCAAGACGACAACTAGAGCTGCCCAGCCAAAAATTATAGCTGAGAAAAACAAGATCTCCAGCTCAACCCAAAGGAGAATTAAATAACGATGGTTCCAAACCCATTCCAAGGCAGCCATTATTAAATAATTTACGCGGTATATATATATATATATATATATATATATATGTGAATGAGTACAGTACCTACAATCTCGTGCAAAAATTATTGAGACAATTCAATATTGTATAGGGTGGAGGGGGGAGGGGGGGAAGTAATCACGGAAATGGAACGAAATCGATATTTTGAAATTAATAATTGATTTCAAAATTGCGCATGTCCAGACCATTTTGCACCAATTATTTGCGACCGAAGTATTATTATCACTAGTTATTTGTATAGGAAAGTGGGCCAATCAACGGTGAGAAAATGAATAAATAAATATACTTTCAACCTGTCCCTGTCAATACAAGTAATTAATATATTATAGATGAATGAGTCATGACCAATGGAGATCAAAGTTTATTATCCAGCTATTAAGAGTCAACAAATAACTGAATCATTCGTTTAACTATAAAAGTGTGAAAGTTGGCAGGATGCAGTATGAGCGTGCATGCATTGGGCATGCAAGGATGAAGAGATTAAAACATAAGGAAAACGTTGGTAAATGTTTAATAACTCTGTTAATATTTGTCGATTCCTGTCAACGCAGACATTGACAGTATACTTCTAATTTATTAGATATCAGATACATTTTGTAGTGTAATTTTGTGCATATTTGTATTAATATATTCTGTAATGTGATTTACATTATTGTCTTTTTTGTCACCCGACACTCTCTTTTTGAAACGTCGAATTTATCCTTGTATTTTTCAGGTAGTCGTGACTATCAAAGAAAGTTTAAATTTGTTCATAACAAATACACTGTTATTTTCAGGGAATTAAAATAACTCCGGAAAAGGGGGTTAGCAAAAAAGGTTCAAAATAATCCGTTTTTTTGGGTTAGAAATAACTCCATTTCTGGGGTTAAAATGTATCTCCACTTTTGGGGTTAATCTAACTCTCATATCTCCACTTTTGGGGTCAATCTAACCCCTATTCAGGAGTTAAATCATTTTAACTCCATTTCAGGAGTTTAACCGGCACTCTTGAAGACTTTTCCTCATCTTTTTAATTATTTTACACATTTTTAATGTTATGAAAACCAAAACCATGAAAAAACATCACTCAGTTTTCATAACATTAAAAATTGCGTAGAAATAATTAAAAAACGAGGTAAAATCTGCCAAGAGCGTTAGTTTACGCGGAACGCTTTCTAACGACGTAATGCAATTACTTCGTAAAACGGGGAAGTATCGAGAAACCTAGCAATCAGTCTAATTATACTAAGTCAACTGCTTCATCTAATACAAAACGTACGCGAGAAAGTTATCTGTGAAATATATTTTATACCAACTATAGCCATGTATTTCAAGAAATAAAGTTCTACAACTTGATTTCAAACCATGCATCATTGACACATTAAGTTACTGTCAAATTTAAATGTCCACATACATTGTCAAAGACAACAAGTACTATTACAATGTTAGAACTTCAGTAAATGTACAGTACAGTACCTTGAACCTTTAGTTACATATGGTATCATCCTGATTATCGTAACAGACGAAGCAAGATATTTCCTAATCTTGCATGCAATTGAATTAATAATTTTATCTCAGTGACTTACTACTGAAATTAGCTCATTAATGCCCAACATTTCTCCCTTGACAAGCAAATTTTCTTGTATATAGAGACAGTAAACTGACAAAGTACTGTAGATCACATTAAGCCATATGCATTATAGCCTTATGGACTGTAATTTGCCCTGGATTTTTGAAATGGAAAAGTAGGAATTATGTTGTTTGTTAGCTCAGTACAGGCAAGGTGCTCTGTTTATTACTACCTGTGTGGAAATAAAACTTGATTGCCTCACACCACAAATTTTACTTGTCAAAGAGAGGCAGCTTTGGCATGTACAATGAGACAAGGATTGGGAAAAAACAAAGACTGTATTAAATCAATCAATATACAGTAGACCCCCTTGCTAAAGAAATAATGTTGCATGTAGGCAGCAAATAAATAAAGTGCCTGTCATTACATTCGCCCAGAATCTGTTGATGGTGACCCTTTTTCGATGGTGATCCTTTTTTGATGAATTTATTTATACAGCATGACATAGTTGACACTTATCGACATCAAACCAACTCAAGATCTTGATATAAGACAACCGGTTTCAAATGGCCAGTTATAGGCATCATCATGACCATATAATCCATACCCAGGCTATGATTCTTTTCCTAGTGTCTTGGCATGCTAGTATCAACCTACAATATGAAATAATAAGCATTTACCACATGGCAAATGTGAAGCTTGTACTACGTCTAAGACACATTTTACTATTGGTTTTCTAAGTTGTGACTGGAGTATTCATAGCTGCAAAAACCTGGCAATGTTCATAGAGGAACTTATTTCATATTATAATATTTATATCAAACTAGTTTTTCATGGTTCTGAAATGGAATATGAAGAGGAAGCCATTGTCAGTTGCCTTTGGGTCATAAAATTCTTAACACCAAATAATTGTGAGACTGTACTGAGGGTCTCCCAGGGCTGGGTTTAGGAAACCAGAGAACAATGCATATTTTGCAATCAGAATTCAAAGAAAAAAATGATAAAAAAACAAGGGACCATAAAGTTGGGAAAACAAGGAAACATGGTGAAATCTTTGTGGGGGAAAAAGGAAAAATTTGCAAGGGAATACATATCCAGGCCCCATAAGATACCATAGCTTTATACTCTACAGTGAATAAAAATAATAGTTTTTCACCTTAATTATTTGAAGCTCGAACCATCACTACCAAGAAAGCTATGACCAATTCTTCTTCTACTGAATAATATAAAAAGCTTATATCAGATTCTAAAATATAAAACCTTCATCACGTTTCAAAGGTTGTCCTCTTTTGACTATAAATGTATTGCATTTTATAAATTTTATACACAGACAGAAGCTAATTTTTATGAAAAACAGGGCAGATTTCGTCCTGGTTTATTTGACAGTGGAGTAAACTGTTATTTTGAATAATACTTGGACTCTTGGTCTCTGAACCGTCTTTCTCAAGAAAAGCTGCCTTCCTTCTGGAAAAAACTCGCCTGGCACATCATGTAAAAGTTGCTGAAGGTCCATTTCAGTCTTAAAAGAAAGAAATACTATTCCAATCTGCACCAGAAGGATTTTAAATGTTGACAGCCTGGACAGTCGCCGTGTGTTCATCCTGTTTAAACGCGAAACCGCCACAGGCTTGTTTGTAAAAAAATTGAATGCATTATACCAAAAATATAACATAAAAGTCCATAAGATACAACTTTACCTTCAAATATATATTCTAAAACAGAACACCGGTACTCTTCTAGCATTTTTTCTGTAAAATATCTACATTTAATCAAGAAAATTTTGTGCTGAAACCTGAAGTACAAAATCTCAACAAAAAAATTGAAGAAAAGAGCGGGAAAATAATTATCCCGGTCGGGAAATTGAATTCTTGTTGATTACTGGATGCTAATTGGACAGATTGCCAAATAACTACCGGGGAAATATTCCCTCGGCACTTTGCGTCTCCTTGGCAAATGTAAACAACAAAAAGATTTGTAGATTTCATATATTTTGTGATATGTCCGTGTACGGCGAAATATGCAGCAAGTTGGACAACAAATCACACTGCGAGAGACAAAATTTTAATTTCTCTGGAAGTAAGTACTCTCGATATAATATTAGTACGACCTTTTGATAATGGGCCCTATTGACTGCCCATTGTAAGCTTTTTTATAAGATGGCTTTATTATTGCAATCATACTGTTCTATAATAGTGTACTGCCTGCTACTTTTGTAAAAACTGCACTGTGCAGTGCCTTACTGTAATGTGTAGTGCATTCTATATGTTTATAGACTTTATATTGACTGGTTGGTTCTATACTTTCAATATTGTGTTCTGCCAACATACTGTAGTACTGACACTACTATGTGGTGCTGTATTATACTATACTGTGGTGCCATGAAAACTACATTGTGGTGTTGCTCTACACTTTATTGTGCCATTCTGTAATTTTTCTGTTTTATAATGTACAGTACCACAGCCCAAGACAGACCAGTATGGCAGAGTAGTTCAATACATTACAGTACACTATAAAACAGTACAGTATGACCGAGAGAAGCATGCTCTACTCTAGTATAGTATGGCTCACACAGAATGCACCACAAAACAGAAGAAAACAGAATGGCACAATACAGTATAGAGCAAAATAATGTAGTATGCATGGCCTCACAATATAGTATATATATAAATACAGTATATACAGAACCGCATAGTACAGGACAGTTTGGCAGAACACAATATTAAAAGTATCAGGAACCAGTAAGTACAATATAGAGATACAGTATGTACTACACACTACAGTAAGGCACGGCATGGTGCATATTGTTGAGCCAGCTTTACTGTGTGAAATGTTGTACAACACTGTACTGTCGTGCCATACATACTATATTGTGGGTCTTGTCAATGGAAATTATTGAGTGGAAATTTATATATATTTATTACACTTAAACAGGAACAGTTGCAAAAAATGCAAATATAGGTCCCTGCCTGGCAGGAATATATATATATATATATATATATATATATATATATATATATATATATATATATATATATATATATATATATATATATATATATATATGTACTACCTACAGTAATAACCTAATATGGCAGTAACCTATATAATATTATGAACTTATTTAACAACTGGCCTGAGTTATATAGCTCAGTTGGCTAGAGTACTGCACTGAAATAGCAGAGCCGCAGGTTTGATTCTTGCCAGACAACTATATCCCATTAAGCGCCAGCGCTCTCCCCTTGACGAGTAAAATCGTCTGGCGTTAGACAGAGTAAAATACTAAAGTAGGGTGCATCAGGGTGCATCGCCACTCAATCTGTTACCTAGACACATGGGCAGATAGGCCAGTTAACTAGACACATGGGCAGATAGACCAGTTAACCCATTAAGTGCCAGCGCTCTCCCCTTGACGAGTAAAATCGTCTGGCGTTAGACAGAGTAAAATACTAAAGTAGGGTGCATCAGGGTGCATCGCCACTCAATGTGTTACCTAGACACATGGGCAGATGCCTATCAGTTAACTAGACACATGGGCAGATAGACCAGTTAACCCATTAAGTGCCAGCGCTCTCCCCTTGACAAGTAAAATTGTCTGGCGTTAGACAGAGTAAAATACTAAAGTAGGGTGCATCCTCACTCAATGGGTTAACTAGACACATGGGCAGATAGGCCAGTTAACTTGATACATGGGCAGATAGGCCAGTTAACCCATTAAGCGCCAGCGCTCTCCCCTTGACGAATAAAATCGTCTGGCGTTAAACAGAATAAAATACTAAAGTAGGGTGCATCGATTGCCACTCAATGGGATATAGTTGCATTTTTTTGTAGCTATTCCTGGTTATGTCTAATAAATGTATATAAATTTCCACTTGATAATTGCCATCTACAAAACCCTTTAACTATATTATTCAATCAAGTGAGATGCTACTTAGAGTCTTGATACTATATTGTGGTATAGCACTATAATACGGTACTGTACTGTACTGTACATGCAACATTCTGTATTCTTGTTGTGGTGTTATATGCTTAGCCATGTGCTTCTATCTGCTCTGCAGTGCTAATTACAGTCTTGAGCAGTGAGGCATATTCATTCAATTATATCCAATATAAGACTGTTATAAGACTTTTGATGTGTTGCACTAATGCTGTGCTATTTACTAACACTACAGTACATTGGCTGCCAATGGCGGGGTTGTGTTAAACACTTCATGGCCCATGGCGTCCTACTTTGGTATTTTACTTTGTCTAATTCCAGACAATTTTACTTTTCAAGGGAGGGTATTGCACACTAATGTGGGCTAACCAGCTCAAACAATTACCTCAAACTCTATTGTGCTGCACTGAATTTTTATGTGTTTTAAACTCGGCTGTACTTCACTGTGCTACAGTAATCTTAACTATGCGAAATTGTGCTGTACTGTCCTTTGGTACACTGTACTTTCAGGCATATTGTACTGTAATGTACTGCGTGATGCAAAATTGTACTATATACTTTGTTGTACTGTAATGAAATATAATGAATTTTGTGTTGTCATAGCTGTCATGTCTTGTTTTAACCAATAATAGCGGATTGTATTGTACTGTATGACAAGTACAATGTGTACAATTTGTACTTGCTATGTTTAAATTTAATATAATACAACACATCACCACAGAATAATAAAAATAAGTTGCAGTAATAAAACACTGCGTCATTGAGCTGCTGTGAGCAAAAATGTCACTCCTCTCATCTGAATATTTATATTAAACACGAAATAAAATATGTTCACTTACCTGAAACATGAATAATACAGTTCTCGCCTCCCTTCCGTATAATTTTCACGTTTTTTTTCTTGAGTGCAGTAGAAAGGAAAGCAATCTGAGCGAGTTAAAACTATTAAAAAAGCCGAAAACACGACGCCATTTTGTTTGCCTTTTATAACAAATAACTCCAATAAATGGAGTTATATATGAATAACTCCACCATCAAGAGTTAATTTTGCATACTAATTAGTTCGCCCGTATCCCCTTACTCCTCAATGGGAGTTACTTTAACTCCTGAAATGGGGTTAACGTAGCCCTAAAATTTTAACTCCACTAAAAAGGAGTAATAGGGGAGTTATTTTAACTCCCTGAAAATAACAGTGTATGCATGTTTTGGGTCAATGAACATGACCTTCAAAGTGGCATTGAAATATTCACGAGTAAATTGTACTTTTTTACAAGGAAACTAAAATAAAATCACATGAGTGAATTCAGGAATGTTTACTCTTTATAATGATACTTTATAAATGAATTTACTCCATAAAACCGAAGAGTTATCGGGGTTTGAAAATGAGCTATTTTTGCTATTTTCTATGTTCTATATAAATAGCAAAAATATCTCATTTTCAAACCGCGATAACTCTTCGGTTTTATGGAGTAAATTCATGTTTTAAAGTATCATTATAAAGAGCAAACATTCATGAATTCAGTCATGTGGTTTTATTTTAGTTTCCTTGTAAAAAGGTACAATTTACTCCAGAATATTTCAACGCCACTTTGAATAAGGTCATGTTCATTGACCCAAAACATGCATAAATACAATGGGAATTTAACATAAGTAAAATGCGATATATATCCAAAATTATTCAAAACTTATTTTATTAAATTACTAAACAAAAAAGTTATCAAAACATACCTTTGAGAAAACGTGAAGATCTTCAACGCAAAAATTGCAATACATTTCAACATGCGTTTTTAATCGAACGGCGCGTTGGAATAAACATCTTGAATAATAATGAGCCGCACTGATTTACGCGTTGCATTTCGGGATGACCCGCATTCCTCCTCTGGTAGCATAGTACCTGCATTCGCAGATACAAAAATCCATACAAATGGCTCCTTCTTTTGATATTAGACAGATTTAGAAAGGACGACGCGACCTCAAAGACGTCGTGGATGTCGTCATTTGGCGCCAACTATCGTCAGCTTCTGGTTTGCGACGTCGTCTTGGACGATTTCACCACGCGAAAATACAATTTTCACGTCCTCTCTAGAACGTCACAGATTAATTATTCTTTTGAAAAAAATATGAGAGTATGCATAATAAAAAACATCCTATTTTGTTCCTTATATTGTATTGTTTAATGATTCTAGTTAAAGTTTTTTTATTCACA